AAGATCTACTACGGCATGATCATGAAGAAAGAGATGTTTGACTTGTTGGTTACAGCTTCTTCATCTGTGAGGACATCTAAGAAATTTTTTGGCCAGGAGTTACTACAAAGTCATATTTTCTGAAAATAGTAACTCTTGGTTCTTGCATTGAGGAGCATTTTATATCCGAATACCACAAGATGCTTTACGGAGGCGGGTCTCTGTTTGAAAGGAGAGGGAAGCCCTGGCTTGGTGACTCACCCCAGATGGTATTTGAAAGCAGCGGCAGAGCTGGGTTTGTTATTGACTTACTGGTTTGTTGCGCTATCATAGCACCCACATACAGACCAGGACTCCAACGCACCAGTTTATCAGAGCACAAACTTTACCTCTGCCTACGCACTCCCCTGGAGAGCTAAGAGAAAAGAGAGGTTGCCTGCTGCGGTGCCGTGGTGCCTAGAAAAGCAGCATCCGAGCAGTTTTAAACACACTTTGTAAAGTCTTTGCTTGACTTTGCTGGCACTGAATAGCCTTAATTGCAAGTATGCTGCATGGCGGAGGGGTGGCTCAGGAGGGCAGGACCTGCCCGGTGTCCTCTGGACCACAGCCTGGAGCTGGGATGAGCCTGATTCTGGAGCAACCTCTTGGAAAGTAATTTGCTTACACGGGGAGTCAGAGCAGCAGCTGGATGGCCCCACGTCAGCTCTGTCCTTTCACACACATCCTTCCTGCAGGCTGGGGCTGAGCCCTCCCTGTCACTGACAGGGACGTTGCTGTGTTCTGTACCCCGCCTTGCCACAGGGAAATCAGGAAGGTGAGAGTGTGGGAAAGAGATAAATATGGGGAGGTTTTACCTTTTACCACAGCAGGATGGGTCATTTGCCCCACTGTGTCTGCTCTCTCACAGAAACCTTCGCAACAGAACAGGACAATATGCAAGGAGGATCAAAACAAGTGTGTGTGTGAGCTTTGAACACCACAAACCAGACAGAGAAGTAAGATTTGTTCTTCAGAACATGTTTCCCTATAGAAGGGGCAGTTTGCACTATCAGCCCACTGTTTAAACAGAAAAATTGAATGCTGCCTGATGGTGCTTCTCCTGATGGTCTCGTATGCCGCGCTAGCACACTGCTTCGCTCCCGTATGGAACAGATGCTGTTGTTATTGCTGCTCAGAGGCAGCATGGAGATTAACAATTTCCATGTACAGATACTTCTTCGGCATTACATAACCCGTGCATTTAACACACACTAAATTTTCATTGCGAATTGGCTGCTGTGGGGGTATTCACATTTTTTAAAAGCTGTTTCTTACCCAAGACATGCAGTGATACTACAGCCTTAGTCTGAGCCAATTATGAAAGCCATACTGAAAAATGAATTGAGCATGGGGCTGCGGGATCTCATAGTTTTAATAAAATAAGAAGTGAAATCCTGGGGCTCATCATCAGTTTTCCGAGCTAAACAGCGTGGAATGGTTATAAATTTTGTTCACTAGTGTAGGAGTAGCAATCTAAGGCTGGGATGTGTGTGGCACTGTCATGATGCTGAACAGACTCATATAAAGATGCTCAAAAGAACATATCAAGTTGTTTGTAAGGCGCCTACCATTGTGAAACAACAATACCGAGATATAATATTCACTCTTCTGCATAGGATTAGGGAGAGAAAAGATTAAATCACACTTGAGATGTCTGTCTGTCTGCCTCAGAAAACTTTGTTTTCATGCTAAGTGTAGTTTTAAGATGTCATCCTGAAAGTGTGTGACATTTTAATGGGCTGATTGCCAAGATTCTCAAATCTGTTCATTTGCATATGAATTACAGTGTCAAATATTATGGAAAAAGTATATGAAACTAGAATTACTAGAGAATGCCTTGCACTCCCCTTGGTTAAACATATGTTGGGAAGGTTGTCTTTTAGAATTCACGTAATACAAAAGCAAATGAGATTAAAAAATGCTGTGGTATTCACATTTATACCAATAGCTGTTTGTGATTGCATGTGGTCTTTTTTACAGCTGTCTGTGAATAGCAGCCTGGATGTTGCCTGTTCTTTCAATAAGCTGCACAGCATGTTACAGCGTCGTGACAGTCACCAGTGCAGCCCTGAGGAATGGTTGCATTCCCTTCTCCACATTTCTGATGCAGCTCCAATGAAGTCAGAGGGATTTCACCAGCATCTTCCAATCACCTCTCTCCAGTAAAGAGTTTTCAGGTTGCTTTTAAAAATGATGGAGCCAAAACAAGCACCCAGGGCCATCAATTCTTAAACGCCCATGCACTCCAGCTAGAGAAATCTAAGGAGCCTGCACTGTGCAATTAGCTACTGTACGCAAGGGTCCATGAGTAGGCTTGCAGCAGTTAAGCACATGCATGAATACTTGCTGGATTGGGGGTTTATGGTTAGAGAAAATCCTTCCAACTGAAACAAAACTTCCTATCAGGATCTGACTCTTAAACAGTTTTAGCGGGAGGAGGGTGCAGTCAAGTCCCTACAACGGGTTTTCTTGTCTAATGTAACCAGCTCAATGCAGGACTTGGCGTATCCTAAGCAATTGTTCATAGCTCCTGCACAGCTCATCTGCTTTGGGAGCTGATTTGTGATGGAAATCCGCTTGAATGGAGATCATAAATTTGATTTACTTGTGAAAAAGAAGTGAAGAATTCCACAGCAGAACAATCTGGGTCACAATGTACTTTGGATTGTAAGATTTAGTACAGAAAAAAGTCCCAAACCACGTAATTCAGATCCAGCTTTCAAGCATCAGAAGTTTGAGGTTAGTCAAAACCAGGGTTTAGTTCATCTGTTCATGAAGATGTCTGTGCAGGTTGGAGCTGACCCTGTGCTTGGATCTTCCCATCTCTCTTGGGGTCCCCCAGGACTGTTCAAATCCAGGGATCAGATCCTTTTCCAGTTTGCAGCAGCAAGCCACAAACTACACACACAAAAAGCTGTTTAAAGGAGAAGGCAGCTTGTATGGAAAGAGGCACCAGCAGGGAGAACTAGCTGGGAGTGGGTCTTGGGTCTCTGGCAATGTTCAAGCAGGAACAGGGATGTTTCAAGGTAATATTGATCTCCCTGAGAGATTGGGGAGTAGCTGAAGCAACACAGTTCTGTGCAAAAGAAAGGGACCAAACATGGGAAATGGCACTGGGGGAGAAATGAGAGTTAAGCTCAGAATTAATGCGCAGAAACAACAGGAGAACACATCTGAATTTCCAGAGCAGGAGGCAGGGTTTGTTGTTCAGAGTTGAGCTTGGTACTAGACACTGCCAGAGAGGCTGAGCTTCCTAAGGTGTTTCCTGGGTCATGGTGGGCAAGACTGGCCCCGACTCGCTCATCTCTTTTTGAAAAACAAGCTAAGGCAACAACGCACGCGGCCTTGGGCTTCGCAGAGGCGTAGCACTAGTGTTACCCTTACTGCTAACACGCCTCGCAAAGCTGGCGGGGCAGCCTCGGGAGCTGGGCCAAGGAGGACCGGAGCAACGTGTGTGCTGCTTCGCTGGCTGCACGCCT